AAAACCGTTGCTGCCATAAATGAATACAAACTAAGCAGCTTTTTAAATTCATCCTCTGAGAATTTGATCATTTATCTTTAATGAGCTCATAGTCTCCAAGGCTGTAACACCTCCCTGCCGTCACCCTAATCTTTATACTCTCTATCATATTCATGTCCAGACTCTGACCAGGCCGCTCCAAAACAACCTTTTGATATAGAAGGCTCAGTATGGCAGAAGTCTATGATTAAAGATCTAACTTTGGCAGCAATGAGTGCCAGGAACGCATTGCAAGGAAGAGTGGGGCGGACTTTAGGATATGGGTACCTTTGGATCAGATATTTAACTGGAAAACCTGCTGCTTATGCTGCAGGACGAAGATCTGACTTATTGGGTTACAGCATCCTCTCTCCAGACAAGATTCAGATGTACACGTCACTCTCAAGAACAAAGCACACACCTTTAACAACCAAAATGTCCAGATCTAGACAGAGAGGACAGAGAGTTTGGAAGAGGGGTGAGGCTAGCCATCACTTAACAGAGGGGGAGGATTGCTCTTTCAGCTTCTAAGCATCTACAGTTTGGTCTGGAAACTCATGCCTAAGAGGTTGCACATTCCAAGTCAGATTTGCATCTGAAAACCTCTTGAAAACATCAGTGCCCCAATGATAAGAAGCTCTTTTGTGGGATCTCAAAATTAACAAAGACTCCTGGATAGGTGATGAAATTTCTTCCGCTAAGCGAAACTCCGATTGGACCCTATTTTGTGGTTTTATTATTTAACCTCATCTGTTTGGAGGATTGCCAGGGACTTTGAAGCAGTATCAGCACAGGTGAAAACAGGCCATTGCCCTGTGACAGCAGGGAGTTTAATATTTCATGGTGTTGGTTCTGGGTTATTCATGTGGAAATTGCGAATCATTCTGGGCCAGTTGGGGGCTGACTGGCCTAACCAGTAAAAACAAGAACCTGGTTTAAACCCTAAACTGATACTGAATCTATATCTGCTGAAAAAGTTCCAGGTTTTTCATTCCAAACCAGACTCAGCTGATCCCAGGAGGGAACCTTCTTACCTGTGAAGCGGGCTGGATCGAAGCAGGAGGTACCGATTCTTGAGGTGCGGATTCTGAAGGTGCTGATGGACCCTTTTGTTCTCTACACAGAGCCTCCAGGTTCAGGTTCAGGTCCTGGATGGACTCGTAGATGTGGTGACCTCGGCACTCCTCCTCTTCTTCACTGCTCTCCGAGCTTGTTGCCTCCTCAGGCACCACCTCCTCTTCCTCCTCCTCTGGTTCCTCTTTGTGATGCTTGCTGTCATGTGAAGTAAGCAAAATTTCCTCAGATGTCCTACTGTTAGGGGGAACGGTCGGCATCTCCACGGGGATGGGATGGTTCTGGGGCCGGCTGCCGATCCGAGGGTCAGCTGGACTGAAGCTTGGAACTCGTGGTTTCGCCGAATCAGTTTGGTCTTCAAGGAGGGCCTGTATTTGAGGCTGCTTTTTACTGTCTGCCACGTTTGTAGTCCGAGTGGAAGCTGTGGTTCCGGTATCAGCAGAACAAGCAGGGTGTGTGCCGTGGACCCTTGATGACGACCCAACATGCGACAGGTCTGGCAGGTCTAGGGGTACGCCAAATGTGGACATGCGGTTCTCACTCCGATGGTGGCGATTAGAGGTGTCAGGTCTTACATGGATCATCACCTCATCGTTTTGTTTGGTTCTGGTTCCCCCCGGGTCCTCCAGGTTCTTTGGAACCGGGACAGGAACAGGTACAGGTACAGGAACAGGAGCAGGAGCCGGAGCCAACACCGGATGATTAGGAGGCTCCAGACTGGATGGGTCGACAAAGTCGAGTGGAGACGGTAACTCTGTGGGCAGCTCCTTGACATATTTGGCCGGGATGTAAAAGGGTTTGGAGTTGCTGTCGTTTCGGACTTGCCACCAGTGGTCGTTGGACTTGGCCAACAGAATGTAGCGCTCATTTGGTTTGATGGAGACTAGAACCCCATCCCGATCCATGTACTCATACTTGAACTCCACCAGGACCAGACCAAGACCTAAAAAATCAGATGGAATTACTGAGCAGATCAAGTTAACCACAGAAACAGTCACTCTGATATTGGGACATATGAAGGTTCTGCTCCTGTAGCGAGCCAAAACTCAACCTGCTCAATCAGAACCAGGCTCTTCTACTGCAGCTGATTGGTTTGTTGATCCAAATTGAACCTAGATTCAACCATCTCAGGTTGGGTCATTGATCCAAACTCACTTTGGTCAGGCAGAACCTCTAAAGTCCAGTTTTTTTCTGTATACACACAGAACTTACCCCGGCTCAGCACCGTAGAAGTTGCGGCCATGTTTACGTCCCTGAACTCTTTCGGGATCCGCCCCCTCAGGTAGACACAACTCTGATGGTAATGGGGGTCAAAGGTTACAGCTGATTCTCAGCGACCTTAAACACAGAAAACATGAAATCAGGAATGAAAGCTTCCTGTTGGGTCCAATGTGGTCTTTACAGACTTTTTTTTTTTTTTTACCAAGTCAGTCAGTCAGTTATCATCTAAGAACTCTTTATTTGCTGTTATTCACACTTCATCTTGTTCTGGAATAAGCAAATCCTTTTACAAAATTGAAGGCAGACACAAAAGCAGGTGTTTATACCTTCTATACACAAAAGCAGGTGTTTATACCTTCTACCCCATGTGGGATAGCTGACATAATACAGCTCGACTCAGGAGGTGCTTTGGTTCAAGACATATCATCTGTTAGATTGTTTCGGACCTCATCTAAAACTGGTTTTACCATGTCTTTGTTCCTGGTACAGAACATCCATCTGGAACATTTGTACAAAACTTTGAAGCAGTTTCAAAATGTTTGTTAATTTGTTTTCACTTCCATTGGTGGTCTGTTGGTTCTGAGACATTCTCAGACCGCAAACCCTCATCCATGCTTAAGGTAACTGCTCTTTCCTGTGACTGAAGATCCAAAATCTGAACATTTAAAGACAATGATTGTTTTCTAAGGAATTCCTCGATTAACAGCTGCTGCAAACAGAACCGTCAGGAATGACAGCAATGAGCTGTTCTTCGTGTCAGAACCTGCCTGAACATGTCAGCCTCCGTATGACTTCAGAAACACGCGGCTCAGCCGTGACTCGCCAGCAGAAGTTCAGCCGTCTCTAAATGGGAGTTCTGGTTCTCATGTTGATTCGACGGTTGGACAATAAAATCAAACCCCCTAGAAGTTATTTATTATGTGGTTGTCATTCATTGAGCTGTAAAGCACATTTTCTGTATTTCGTTCAACTTTTCACTGTTCCAGGCCTCGGTCCAAAGCAGCTGCAGACAAACAGCTCAGCATGGAGGTGGACCTGGACTCAGTCTGCCTAGAACGTGGATTTGGCTGCGGTTGGACAGACAGAGAAGTTCTGGTATTTGGTAACATTCTCAACTGTTTGCACAATTTATAACACTGTGCAAACAGGTGAGATAATTAAACTGCATCAGATTACCTGCAACTGTCAGGACTCAAACAGCTCCTTGAAGTTCTGGGATTAATATTTCTGCTTAATGTGCTTCATGATAAACTGAGTTATCATGAAGATCTGTAGACTCAGAGCTACCTTCTTAGGAGGAAACTCAGAATGGGCATCCTTAGAAACATTTTTATATAATTCATTGTTTTCTACACCTGTTATTACACATAACTATGTGTGAAATCCAGCTGCTGTTTTCTATCTGAGGGATTTTCCTGATTTCCGAACATTCCTTCAGTTTTTGGAATATGTTGAGTGTCTGAAGGACCACGAACAGCTGCAGCAGCTGATCACGATGACCAAGTGAGGCCTGAATTCTGCTAGAAAGCAGAAAGTCTTGTCTGAAATGCTACACCCTTTGAGTCCTTCCTGCCCGGCAGCCTCTGAGCCAGGCACTGTGTCTGTAAGAACAATGACAGGAGGCTGATTCCAGGCCAGCTCTGTTTACAAAGGGAAGTCCTGCTCTTCCTGTCAGCTCTAAGCCCCGCCCACATTGCTATTTGGATGCCACCCCTTCGTGACATCACGTCATGTGTGTTTCCCGTCTTTGTGGATGAACAATAGTAGATTCAGACTGCAGTCAGACTGAAGGTTTCATTAATATCCATCTCGGGCTGAACAGGTCCGCCGGAGTTCTGGTTCTTCTTAATAACAGCGTCCAGGTTGGACCCAGTTTTGGCACATTGCTTATAGAAATACCCAGTTATAGGTACAAGTTAGTTCTCCCCGAGAAAGTAACTAAAATAGTTACAGCACTTAAAAAATAGATATGCAGTTACATGTCATAATTTAAGTGTAAATGATTTTTTTACTTTTAATACCACTTTAAATGCAACTTTACAAATATAAAATATTTCTTATTTGATTGAATGGCTTAATTAATTAATTGATATAAATATCTAACCATCACTAACTAATGTAAACTAATTTATGCCACTGAGGTGTCTGTGTTTATGTGGGACAATCAACTGCAACATATTCAAGAAGAAATGATCATTATCATGTTTCATATTTAAAACAACACAATAAAACAAACTAGATTATTTAGAACATTATATTTATGCTCATTAACAGGCTATAGTTTATTAATAAAAGAGGAATAAAGTTTTAAAATAATGATTTTGAAACTATACAAATGGAAAAAAATAAACTTTGGAGTAAGATTGAATGTTTTTATTTTATAATAGAAAACAGCTAGTTAGACTTCACTACTGAAATAAACAATAACTGCAGAGATTTCAGTTCAACATAGAAGTGATGAGGAAGTGAGGGACGGATGGAGCGAGTAATCGACAGACGGACCGGTGCAGCGTCGGCAGCGATGCGGTCGCTGTATCGGACTGTCGCGGTGAAGAGGGAGATGAGTCGTGGGGCAAAGCTCTCAATTTACTGATCGATCTACGCCCCCACCCTCACCTATGGTCATGAGATCACGGTAATGACCGAAAGGATAAGATCACGAGTATAAGGGGCCTAAATGAGTTCCCTTTGTAGGGTGAGGAGCTCAGTTACCCGGGAGGAGCTCGGAGTAGAGTCGCTGCTCCTCCATGTCGAAAGGAGCCAGCTGAGGTGGCTGGGGCATCTGTTCCGGATGCCTCCTGGTCGCCTCCCTCACAAGGTGTTCCAGGCATTGGGAGGAGGCCTTGTGGAAGGCCCAGGATACGCTGGAGGGACTATGTCTCTGAGCTGGCCTGGTGTCGCCTCGGGGTCCCCCCAGAGCAGATGGAGGAAGTATGTGTGGATCGGGAAGTCTGGGCATCTCTGCTTAGCCTGCTGCCTCTGCGACCCGGCCCCAGATAAACGAATGGATAAACGGACGGATGGATGGATGGAACCCAGTCAGTATTGTGAAAGAGTGAGATGATGTAAAAAGATTAAAGCTGCTTCTAACAAACGTGGATAAGCTCTTTGTTCATGCACATTATTTGCAGATTACAGAAATATTTTGCTTTTGACTTTAGCTGGTGTGAAAAAGGTTTCTGTGTTTGCAGGTTTGGAGCGCCACTGACTCTCTTTCATCCGTCCACCTTACGCCTTCTTACTGAACCAGCATCACCAACTTCTCACAATAGAAATTAGATGTAGACTTATATATCATAAAACATGCTTTAAGTTGAGGATTTTAGGCCTTTTTCTTGTCTCAGCATCAGTAGATATGTGTATCTATTGGTTGATTGATTGATTTGTTAATGTTTCTTGTGAAATTGTGTCATTTTTAATCATAGAAATGAAATAATCGGCTCAAGAACATTTTAGCAGCACTTTTTTGGCATCTATTAGATTATTTTCAAAATAATCAGCATCAGCCTTAAAAAACCTGAGTTGTTTGATGTCTAGTGGAAACAAATAGATAGAACATCTGGCACAGCAGGTATAGAGAGATTATAAAAATTTAATTTGATCCAACAAGCTGAAGTCATGTATCTTGTTTTAATATAATTTAACAGCCTGAGGTGGCCCAAACCTTCATGGGGCACTAAACAAAATTCATTTTTGAAACCATCTATTTCTGGCAAAAATATAGTTTTTTGCAATCAACATCCAGAGGATGAGATCTTCTATAAACTCACTGCAGCTCTGGCAGCTTGGTTTACAGTTTCCTGTCTGTGTGCATCATTTAGTACTACTAAAAGTAATAGAGCACATAAAAAATATTTGCAGATTATTGACAGTAACGTTGTTTTTTAGTTTATACTTTTTGGTTCTTCAAACAGAAAAAATAACCTGAAGTTAAAAAAAAGAACAACAACAAGCAGATAAAATAGCTTTGATAAATAAAAGTTACAAATTAAATTGTACAAAAGTAGACATAGTTAAATCAGACAATAAAGTATCAAGCAAAATTACCTGAAACCAGGTAGAAAATAAAAACGAGTTTAAAGTCGAGTCACTAGTTTGTAAAAAATGATTTAAATGTGTTTAAATATATGAAAACTCCCTAATTATAAACAAACTACTGTTACCCACATATGTATGGAGGATAAAAAGTGCCAAGATTAAATAATTAAATACAGCAATAAACAATTAATTAAATGTGTCATTCTTTAAATAAATAAGGAATAAAATATATAAATGTGTCATTAATTTAATAAAATATGTCTTCATTTTTTTAAAGAAAATATAAATAATTATTTCAGTGTGCATTTAATTATTTCATGGTCCCGTGTCGCAGTGCATCGAAACCATTAAAAGAATCTGTCAAACTCACCCATCAAAGTTAGGGGGCGGGGTTAACGCGAATCGAGTCTCTGTAATCGATTTGCTT